ATTTCCTATCCTTAAATCCCTAATGACTCACAAGAGGTCGGTAAGGCACTTGTATTATCTCCTTTGGTATTACGAGCGTCCATGGGCGGAGCGGGCTGCTTACCATCAGATAATCCGCTTATTCCTGACTCATGACATATAAACAGAAGGTGTGTTTACAAATATATGCACGAATAAGAATGTAACTTTGAAGCCGCACGTTCGAGGCGTACCTATGCTACTAAAATTATTTGCATAAAACGAAAGGAGAATTCATACATTTACCAACTCGTGCAAATTAACTTCCTGGTATACTGTTTCAGTGAAAACCATAACGAAAAATGTACCAGAAATGCTTTTAATTTGTAAGAGTCGGTGTACAATTAACAACTTATGTTATGTTGCAATTGCTAGGTAGTTATTATTATAAAGCTATGTAGTTTTGTATTATCGAAATTGTAATTTAACTACCGAATATAAATAAGCAGAGTAATTGCCAAATAAGTAGGCAAGAGGTCGGTGGAGTTCCTATGTCGATGGATATTAATGATCTAAGGATGTCTATAAATGGTTCCTTGAATCTTGTTCAAGGAGCGACGTTAAATTTTTAGGCAATTAAATATTTATTTACTATTAATTTCAATCAAAAGTTAGATTGACCACATTATAAAATACTGTGGTACTGGCCTTTTGGAGATTACGATTTTGGAGATTAAGGGATTAGGGAGGGGAAGGCTTGGGCCATTAATAGTCGCTAATGATTGTAAATTCGGAGGTTCAAACCTAACAAAACAAAGTATAGCCGAGACATTCGTTTTAGTTATTTCTATTTATAACGCACATACAATATCTACAGATGGAAGCGTAGTGAAGGGTAGCGTTATTTCATAACAAAAATTCTGTCTCAAATATAATCAGAATGTTGAATGTATGTAATATTAAGCTTTGGGGCACGGTGACGGCGCGACCTGACGAGATGAAAATGCATGCATGCAGTAGATTAAAAATACCTACCCTGTATCCTTTTATTGCTGTACGTAGATTTGTAACTAAGTAACGGGGACGGACTTAGGTTTTGCTAAAAGATATAAGAAATAAATTTGTTAGTCCACTTGTTACAATTAGGAACATTAGGTCCTTATCGAAGTAACTTAACATTAACATTATAAACTATTGTAACTATGAGTGCCGGTACATTATTTTAATATTTGGACCTGAAACAGGACCTAATTACAGTAAAATTGTGTAGTTGTGAAAAATTGTGCAGTCCTTTTGTTAAACGCCGTTCACTGTTAGTTTAAAAATTACTTAAAGACGAAGAATAAATTTTAATGTTGTGTACAATAAAGAATGAATAAATAAATAAATAAATAAGAATATCAAATTTCTGAAGAAGTGAAAATATTGTCACTAACAGGTATTTAAGCCAATATTCTTAACTTGTAACTTGCTTAACCAGACCAGGAAATATAGGTACATTTATAACTTTCAACACATTATCCACTGCCTATCGTTCGTAAATTATTTCATAACCATGTGATTTGTTGAAATAAACACTATTTCAATTACCTGTTATATTCGATGTACACACAACATGAACCTAAGTATTTTCGTCACAATGGCCTTTTCTCCACTAAAGAAGAATAAGGATATCAAAGAGGAAGAAAATGATTTACTTTCTACAATGAAGACTGTACAAAATGCAGCGCAGTCGGAGTGCTTTGTTCGCCTTCGTTCAATTGCCCTCTGACATTTCAATGAGTAGCTCTGACTGCGTTGAAGAAAAATAATATGGCGTTGTAGAATTTTCCCGAGTGATTCTGCAGAACCTGTAATTGAAGTCCTCGTCTGTAAGTTGAACTTGAACTTGGGCATTTGTTTACCTTCCACCTTCCAAGATTTCCCGACTAGTTCTCCAACTGATCCGAGCTGCTTCATAACTTATGAAAGTTTTCATTCATACTTTATTGTTTATTCATTTTTGTTGAGAATATAGAAATTCAAGGTAAGGTTCTAGTTTTCGTTTCAAATGTCAATAGTGCACTCTAGGATTTAGTCAGGATTCCCATCAAATTCGTAGTCCGATCTGAAGTTCTAGCCTGCATTTCAATATTCACAGAGGTATCAAATAGATAAGTAAAATATTTGCGAATGATATGAAAACGTTAATAGTGAATAAGTATATCACGCATATTGTAATCTGAATTTGCTCTCAGCTTCCCCACTATTACGTGATCAAATACAAACGCTATAAAATATCGCAGGAGCAGCGTCCAGGCATTAAGTTAACAAAGTAACTTAGGTAACCTAACTTACTAGTTATAGGATTACAAAAAAAGGCACCGTCAAAGTAGTTTGTTTCTGTTTTTTCTGAGAAAAAATGGCGCTTCATTTTAAGAGACATTTTTTACTTCTTGCTAGTGACGGAGTTATTTAATAAGTAAACAACACGACCTACTTCCTAGTCTAGAAGCTATAAGAAAAATTGTAAGCATTTTGCAGGTGTGGGTTGAGAATTCCTTGATTACTTTATTTTCTGCTATGTACATTGTTTCTTTACATTCGCACTTATATTACCTGATAAGTACACAACAAATAAAGTTCAAAATCAGGGCTTAATCAAGATTAGGCAGTAAAGTGGGTCCTTTTATATTCGTGGTGCTTGTTTGAGTGGTCTTGTTTGAGCTCGCCATTAGACAAGCAGTTTCACGTAATACACCTAGATTATTGGAAATTAGAGAACGTGTGCTGTGTAGTTTTAATTCAGACGACACTGCAAAGGTTAATCAAATACTTCTGAAAAATACACCGTAATTTGCTTTTACGTAGGTAACCTATATCATTACTAGTGAAAAACGAAATCACTTTCTCTATCCCTATATCCCTATGTATGCTTAAATCTTTAGAAGTTAGCAACGGATTTTGATGTGCTTTTTGTGATAGATGGAATGATTGAAAAGGAAGGCTTATATAGCATGTCCATTAAATAGTGGAGAAATTCAGTATCATTATTGCACCCGTGGGAAGCAGGGACGGGTCGCTATTATAACGTAAATAAAATATTAATTGTTCATCCCAGGTATTGAAGTGATACTACATTACATTCCTAAAGCATCTAAAAGTTTAAATAACATGATTTAAAAGGCTTTCGTTTTCCATATAAAGAGTGAAACTTATAAACCTATAGGATCATTTTGTTGAAACTCCTTCGGTATTGGTATGATTTAAGGTAATATTCCGAACGCGGCAGCAGACTGCAGTTTGTGCAACTTTAGCCATTTGTGTCAGTTGTATAGTAGAGCTCTTTCCGAGTAACTCGGCCACGAAAGTATCAGCATAAATATCGTTCACTTTTCTCAAAGAGGTAAGCGTACCGAGTCCGGTCAGATACATACATAAAATAAGGTGTTTCCTTTCTCCGCCTAAAGTTTTCAGACCACAACAAATTGTCTATACTTATAATATTACAATGTATGTTTTCAGATTAAATAGTACGTAAGTCCAAATTATACTTTGCATAGTCGAATTAAAATCGAAATCACTAAGTATACTAAAAATTTGTACTTTAAATATTTTTTGTTTAAATGCAAAAAAATAACCATGTGGTAACAATGTACTATCCACATAACACACATTATTGTTCTGTTACTGAAATATCCCTTAAAAAATGTCAAAGTCAGTGTTAAACAAACATTCATACCAAATATGCCATACTAAAGGTATTTTTGAAACGACAACATGAAATAATATTAAGTCAGTGTCTTTGTCAGTGAAGCTAGTTTCGTTTCAAAATGATCGTACATTCAATGGCACTGGAGTAATTTGTACTAAACCAAAAACCAGGAAGTTATATAGCTAAGTGATACAAAAAAAAGGAAAAGCCATGGAGTTTGAATGTGCATTAATATTCGAATAGCCACTTAATAGCTTTATACTGTAACATCTAATTGGTGAGTAGCATACATATTGGTCTCTATTACTAAGTTGATATATTATCATGCACACGAAACCACGAGCAAGTATGCAATTGAACCTACGAAATATGTACCTAATTCGGAACTACAACAATGCTTTAAGTGGATATTGAATTTACAGCACAATACGATGTAGGTACTTCTGCGTTCCTTTGAGAAGGGAGAGTGCTTATAGTTATGCTTGTGCTTAGCTTTCATCATTTATTTAATAGGACATCAGTCCCAACGTTGTACAATAAAATATTACAGATAAATCCTTAACTTGTATTTAAAATATGTACTTAATGTATAGTGGCTGTGGTGTCTGTCTCAAAGTATCAATCAGTCTTAAAGATAGCACCTAGGTTTTTTTGGGGATTAATAAGAAACTAAGGTTTGACTTATTAACTACGCTAGACCGTTAGACGACGCAACACGACAATTACCGCATACATTTTATTTTGTAACAAAACCTTTATTGTAAACTGGCTACTTTCATGCGGTTGCACCAGCTGCTCCGCTCCATTTGATCGTAGCGTGATGTTTTATAATAGCTTAGAGCACTCAGGAACATTGTGGCTATCTATCAGTGAAATAATTTTGGCCATCCGAGCAGCGGTTCCAAAGATTACCCTTTACATTCAAAGTTACAAATTTACAAAGTCACAACCTCTCCATTAATTCAATTTCTAAAATCGCAGCAGTGACCAAATCGCGTAGCCACCTTGAGGAGTGGTAAGAGAGATGCTAATGGCGTCCACTCCTTTCGCTTAAAGCATATGCTCTATTTATTTACTTATTTATATATTAAGAATATTTCCACATACAACATTACAGCTTACGCCATTAAGTTGTATTGTTAATTTCATATAAATATAATTATCTAGGTACTTAAAAAAAACTAATTAAGATTAAATACAAGAAAAACAATACAAATTTAAAAAACAAAATAAAAGTACTTAATACAACTGAATAACAAGATTAGTGACCACAGTAATCTTAAACTAAAAAAAAAACATTATTGTTTACCTACCTATCCTCTCTATCCATCCTCTCACAATATCTTACCGGACACGGAAGCTTCGGTTACCTGATTCGGATCCGGCCGATGCCATGGTGCAGAGCGAGAGGATCTGGTATGCCGTCTTCTCCTTCTGAAGCACTGATTTTGCAAAGAAGGAGGCAGAGCACGTGAGGGATCTATCCTCCTCACACCTCCAGCCGCCGCAGTAGGTGACACTCTGAGCGTTGTTTTTCGGCCACCGTAAGCTAGTGTCTGTGGACGGCGAGCAAAGGTAGCGCGCAAGGGTAGTTTGACCATAATCAGATACGAACATACCGCGTGAGCCAATAGACAGACACAGACGGGGCGCTATAGGGCTGATGTTCAGCCGGGGTTGCGGGGTAAGCGCAATGAGGCACCGCGACCTCGGCACAGAGCAGGAGAAGGAACAGGGGGGTTTTTAGTCAGTAAGAGTCTGACACTCCCTCCCGCCCGGCCCTGGGTGGGAAAAGTCATTTGAAGATTTTTCCCTCACAAAAAAAGGGTATCCACAGGTACACAGACCACAATACTCATAGTTGACTAATGTGATAAAAATTATGAATGATTTATTAACCCTATTAGTAGGTACTTTGTAACACTATGTCACGTATTTAACGGCAGATATTGTGTTTGTCAATAAAATTAATATTTTAATTGCAATTTATTCACATTATTTTATAACACTTCAAATATTCCTGCATTTTATAAAAAGAAAACACAAACCAAATTAACAGAGCTTTTCTAGCTATTTTCAATTTTAAGCGGGTAACAATCAATCGTTCATATGTAATTAATAATACCTGATGGTAAGTCATCAGTTTCGTAATAAGTCGTGGTGGCCCAGAGGATGAAGCGCACGCTTCTCATGCCTGAGGGTTCGAAACCTGGCAAGTACCAATGTGACTTTTCCAAGTTATATGTACTTTCTATGATTAATTAGAATAACCACTGACATACGGCGAAGGTAAACATTGTGAAGAAACTTGGACTAATAATTTCTAATTATAAGTTTAAAATGGCCAATCTGCCTTGAGCAAGCGTGGTGATTAATGCTCAAACCTTCGCCGAGTGGGAAGAGGCCTTTGTTCAGGAGTGGGCACATATAGGCTGATGATTATGTAGCGATCAGTTTCAATCGAAACTTTAATTCACTTGCAGTTAAAATAGTAAGTACATAGTACCTACTTACTTTACGTGGTGACGGAAATATATTGCTGAACTAACTAAATAAAATAATAGAAAAAAAAAACAAATTTAATAATCAACCCTCAGTTAATAGCATTAACTATCAGTTTACAACGGCGCGTCTCTAGTGAGCGTCAATTTAATTCATTAAAAGTTGAACTTTACAATAACATGTGCAAGGTCGGGTGAATGAACAAAAGTTGACCTTGAAAACTGTAAAGCACTGGAACGTGATAGTAGCGCCATCTTATTATTATAAGCGAAATGATAGGCGCTATCTATCGGTGGCAATTTAAAATAGTGACAGAGCCATCTATGTTTCGAGACTTGACTTCAAAGTTTTATGAGATAGAAAAGCAAACGAGGTGGCTTATAATCTTATGGTAAGCAATTGATGCTGCTTTTGGACTCTTAAACACCAAAGGAGTTTTTGCTTGCATTGGGGGTAAAGTTTAGGCCTCCGATAGCCTCAATCAAGCAGCGAACACACAACGCAGGTAAGCTGTATCATTCGTGCGGCTTCATGGCTCCCTTATCCACGCTTACACTTACAAACCCCAAACAGTATATGCGTATTTTAAAGAATATACGTGTTTTTATCAGTCCCAAAAATTCAAGAAATAATATCAGAAGTAAATCCACACAAATAAAATACAAGAAAATCAGTCCCAAATAATATTTATTATTATTTCATGCCTTACACGATATATCAAATACGCTATGACATTTATTGGAAAAATAAATATAATTTTTTTTTGTTTATGTTTGAGTCACAGCTTCGTTCAGCTTTGTTGAATACGATTGCCATTTGCTGCTTAAAAATTATTTACAAGTCGTGGATTACGTTCACATTACAAGCGAGATCACTTCCAAACATGTTGTGCCTATCTCTTTACAAAAATCGATTTTAACACTAAGTAGAATCGCCTCAAATGAGCCACCGGCTATCTCCACAAAAAGTCGTAACGTTGTAGGACCATGTGTAAAAACTAAAATAAAATAACTAATGGTACCTACGTTTACGCGCTTGCCAAGACTTGGCGAACTTTCACAAGCTTCAAGCCTTTTCACATCTCCAACGTCGCAAACGCATGTCACAAATTTCCTTTGATTTGTGTTCAAAACCCGAGATCGAGTCGAATTGACGACAAGCTCTTCCAAGTTCATGCAATTCAGGCCAAACACCCTGTTCAGACACTTGTGTTTTTGGACGTTTGGCAAGTCTTGGCAAGCGTGTAAACGTACCATAATAGTACAACCTTTTATTGAATTCTTAAATTAAAATAATGTCATTTTCAAATGAGTTTAAGTTTAAGTTTCTACTAAGAAAATAAATTTGTTATTTAGGCGGATTCAAGTCGATTGTAAACATGAATTAGGTGTTTCGTAAGTATGTAAAAGATTTTCATAATGCCTTTTCTAAATCGTATTAACAGACTACGAAGTTTTAGTACTATATTTTAAAAGCTTACAGCAGTTTTAGTTCTTATGTTTAAATTTAAGGTCAACCACAGTTTTACAATAGCGTTATAATGTACATGGATGTATGAAATACATAACATTATTAAATAACGGTTAAAATTAAACAAATCAGAGAAACATCACTGTTGCATGTTCGACGAATAATTCCAATTATCAACAACTAGAATTTGTAAATGAGTAAAGAATTGTCTAGCAGCGCAATGTGAACGATTCCTTGTTAAAACTATTTACAATTCAAACTATAGCGCTGTATAATATCAGTGTAGGTATGTGTGTAATTATGTGTACGTAGCGAATTAATTAGACAACATCGCATAAGCAATGGCTATCCTATCAATGGGTAAGACCTATCTACCGAAAACCAAGTATTTGTTGCTGTAGTGCTAAATATCTGTACATTACCTAACCAATATAAATAGCTACAAACGTTATATAGATACATTCCATTAAGCATATTGATAGTAATACTTAAGATAAGGAAGTATACAAATTAGCATTCAATCACACTACCTTTTCTGAAGGGGCTGAGTTTCAGACAATTTTATATCTACATACATAAAAATCAACTGTTTATATCACAGTGGTTGAGAATCGATTATAACTAATGATCGAGACTTCATATTTCCTTGATATGAATACAATTTTTATTAGCAAAATAAATAATCTTAGAACGATTTTTAGTACCAAATCGATTTAAGCCTTTTTTAATCGGCGTGACTTGCATTAATAGTACTTGCATCTTTCGTTTTTTTCTTTTTATGTCACTTTATTTTAAAATTGGAATATAAGGTACGAATAAATTATTAGTTTTGTTGTGTCTATCTACGCTTGAATACATTTGTTAATAGTTATCAGTCGCAATGCAGAATTGTAGTGATTTATTTACACAGTTTTATACACAATACTAGTAGTAAGTACTTGATATATTCATAAAGGTTATTAAATATCTCAAGTGTTCAAGGCACGTAAAACTTATTCTCCGAAGACCTTTAACTTTTAATATTTAATACTGATAAATGTAAGCGCGATAAAATGTAACGGGCGGTTATAACATTCACGTCACGGTATCTGGCAGCTGCAAGCAATATTTACATGTGATCCACGTTTCGTATGACAATCATATTCTCACTTCCTCGATTTATGTCAAGACCTGTACTAACAAAAGTAGTTACATAACAATATCCCCCATGTCGAAGTAAATTAATATAATCTTCATTTGTTTATAAAGAAATATATGTAGAACATAGACAATAGCCTTTACTTTAAGATTACATTTCAAGTGATATGTCTATTTTTTTTGTTAAGATATTTTAATTACAAACAACGCATAGAAATGCTTTTAAAGTTAATAAATAGAATGATATCCGCAAAATAAGTTCTACTTATCTTTAAATGTGTTGTGTATAAAACGGTAAATAAAGATTATAGATATCGTAAGTAAAATATCTCTCACGCAACCCACAGTCCATGTGCATAAGTCTCTACACTTGTAGCCAAGTGCAAGTCGACTTGAAACCGTGACTACTGTCTACCTTAATTAAAGTATTCTAAGTACTAAAATATTACTTTAAACTTAAGAATTTAAGTTTGTTAGGAGTAGTCAGGATCAAGAATATATTATGTTGGAATGATTCTCTCTCATACAATACTAAGTACGTAACATATGCTCACAAAGCAATCGAAAGTTGTTCATACTATAATGTCATAATCAAACGAATGGAGTGAGAGCTATAAACTTAAAATTTTATATATTTATTCAAATATAAATATAAGGAGAAACCAAAGAGAAAGTGTCTATTTGAAATAAAAAAGTATATTATAAATTACAGGTGAAAAGCTAGAACTTTTCTACACAACAACGACCACAAGTTCAAGCCACACAGCGTGCTTGCCAACATGTTGGCTGCGCGAAGTCGCACTGACGCCCAAGCCGCTCACGAATAAGAGTCCCGTTGTGACTTAAAATTAGTAGAAATGTTCTCTATTAATTCACGTGATTAACACCCGGTTTCCGAAATTACTTATTAACTAATCTCCAATTTAATCTCTTGTCAAGTCATCTGATTGGTTGACTGAATTTTCAACAACCAAGCAGATGACTTGACAAGAGATTTATCAGGAGATTAGTTAATAAGTGGTTCTTTTCAATCAATTTTGAATGTCTTACAATAGTTACGATTAAAAGAAATCTCGGATATGATATTATATTTTAGATAATCTCCCATAAGTATTCTTAAAGTCGATAGCTCTCAATCTATTCTAAAGGCAACATGCAAACAGCGATTAACAATGAGACTTTTGAAAATTAATTAAAAAAATATTATAACATACTATTTTATTAGTTGATACCATAAACGGTATCGCCAGCGGCGAAAAATTGAAAATATTGCTATAAGTATGTAAACTATACGCAGTTTTTATATGGAAGTCAATCTAAATCTAGATTTTCTTCAATGCCTGTGGCTGAAGTAAGCTAATTTAATACATCGATGGTATTATTGTTCTGCTTTATTATCTATTCTATGTAAATGTCTTCAATTGGATACGCCGTCTCTATAAATGTCTGGTAGAACCTGTGGAACGCTCTCCTGAAATGAAAAGAAATACAAATGTTATATTCTGTAGAATGCTTGGAAATATTGTGTCCAGTTTTATGATGAAACCCAGTCTGACTTAATAATAATCATGATGGCAGAAGATGTATAATGATTGAATTAAACTCATTTGGTATAATACCAAATAATATAGTATGTTAGATACAAGAAAACTAGCCTTGAATATGTTAAAATAAACAAAAACTAGAATATGGATTGAAAACATGGTGAATGGTGACAGATTTGAGCGAAACAGCACAAATTTTAATAAGACCTAATGATATTATTATATTAAGTTGTGATATTAAGGATGAACTTACCCCACAGCTTCAGCTACGGGCCTCGTGGATTCCTGACCTCTAAAAACGTGACATGCAAACCTCTGCAATGTCGGATGTTTCGTGATGAATCCCAAATACCTGTGGTCTCGCGGGTGAAACGCACAGAACGATACATTCTTTAAGGAGTAGAAGTAGTCGATACATGGCCCGTTTCGATTTCTCTGAAAAATAAATAAAAGAAGATTAGTATTGGCTTTATTTCAGCTGCATCGGTCGGTCAAAGTGCTATTCAACTTCTAGTTCTCGATTTTCTACTTTCCGAAAAAAGACAATATATTAAATTGTTTTGGTTGAGATATTAGTTTTATTCAAGTCAGCATATAATTTACCTACTTGTATAAAAATAATGAATTCCTAACATTAACAGTGGATGTCTCGGGCCATTATGATCATAATAAAGATATGAACCCTACCTATTTCTATTGACTTCCTTAATGTAAGTATACCTACTATGTAACCAGTAGGATATCAGTACCAGAATTTTGTATGCAAGCCTTACTCATTATTAATTTCTTTGTAAGTCCTTTTTTATTATGTTATATTTAAATAAGTGCAGTTACAGACAAAAAAATAATCAGTACAATGACTTTATAATAGTACTACCTTTTGAACTTTCGGGTTTCATATTTACACATAGTGTGTTAAAGCGGAAAATAATTATTTAAATACCTTGGTAGGCTTCACGTTTCGACCTGGTTGTACAGATCGTGGTTACAAGCAGACTCGAAGTCTTTTTATCATTTTCCGAGTTAATATCCGCGTAACTATATGTTTATAATTAGTAGACAGAATTAACAGTTTGATTCTATTTACTTGTTTCAATCCTAATCCTAACTAATATTATAAATGTGAAAGTAACTGTGTCTGTCTTTTCTTCAAGCCTAAACTACTGAACCGATTTCTGTGAAATTTGCTACAGACATAGTTTGGAACTCGAGAAGGACATAGGATAGTTTTTACACAAAAAATCTGGAGGAAGTCACTATTCCACGCAAATGGAGTCGCGGGCAAAAGCTAGTCATTAATTTATTTCGTAGTACGCCTGTTATTCTAAGAATCGCACGTAATGCTTCTGTGATATGACTAGCTGTAGTGCCACAGGCGCTTATAGCAATGAAAAGTAATCATTTATAAATTTAAAAAATGCTTGTATTTGTTTTATCTAAACTAATTAGGGTAAATTCCTTTCAATAATTGAATCTGTCCCTCTTCAGTATATTCAAGGTTTCTTCTACTTCGTCCAAAATGTAGTCAACAGTCTGATGGACATTATAAATGAAATTCTTAAAGGTAAATCGATTGTTAAACAACACGAGTTAATGTCTACACGAGTAATTATATTAAAATGGAGGCAAATATTAACTGGTTTTAGTTGACGTAAAGTTTATTTAATGTAGGTACGTGCACAATGTTACAAACCTATTAGGTAAACTCAGTCATTCGTTTTTGGTATATCTTATAGATTTGGCATTTTTGCTAGCGCTAAAAAACCCCTATGTCATTTAGCGCTTGTCTACCGACGAAACTCAGCATATAACCTAATGTAAATGTTTTAATTGTAGATGTTTCGATCGATGATCGATAAAAAAATTGGTACAACTCAAAGGTATAGAAAATTTTACATAATAAACGCCAACAGCTCATAGGTATTTAGTCTTTTATTTTTAAATCAAAGCCAAATTGTTATTTAAATTATAAAAAAATAGTGGTGTACACAAGTTGAAACTATAGTGACGTCACTATTTATTAAGATCGGTATTAGAAAGGGTCACATGGTTGCCATGGTTACGACTACATCCATAGTTGCTATGTAGGGTATACTTACATAGTAGATTCGCGACGTTATTTAGTGCGAAATTCAACCATATTTGACAAAAATATAATATATTTTTTTATTATTAAGGGTTTTTCAGCAAGAGCTTTGGTTTTCAATTGGGGCAACATCAGCAACATATATTATGTTATTATGTATTTGACTGGAGAAAAATAATGAGGGGGGTTAGTGCAAGGCATAATATCCGGTGCAGCGTAGCAAGGCATTTGATATGTTTTAAAATACATAATTCCACAAAATTTTCATTGGTTTTTCATTGTGCACGTGGCTAGCAAAACTGAGGTGCCTGCTAACGCTAGTTTAAAGCGTAAATGTTTTATACATCTTTTTTACCTTTTTGTTTATTGAAAAATAGAAATATGAGTAATAATTTACGTTTTCAAAAAACCTGGCATAACAAAAACCATGGACCGACCAACTGTACTTTATGATGTAAATATAATAGTTGATTGATTGTTTGACTTTTGTATAAACTTCACGATTATTTAGGTACCGAAGAAAATATTCTTAGACAAGTTTATTCCTGGCGATTGTCTCAGTCTTATTTTTAACTATAGGTTCAGTATACAAACGTTTTTGTTTTGTTTTTCTTATATTTAACGATCTTGACATCAAAAATATTGATAAATATTGTCATCGTCTTTATATTGGAGCTTTTCATGTCGTTACATTTTATTTACGTTTGTTTTTATTTTCGTATTTGTGACCCATATCATTTGGAGACTGCTTAAGTGAACTAGTAGCAGAGAGAGAAAGAGAGAGAGAGAGAGAGAGAGAGAGAGAGAGAGAGAAAAAACTACAGTTATAGAAATAAATTGAAATTTACACCATTAATTGGAACACAGCCACTGCTCAACAAATAATAACTTATACCCAGACAGAACTTCCTTTAGACGAGCAACTTTGCGATCGTAGGTGAATTTAAATGTCAGAGAACATCAGATCAATATAGATGTTTCTGTACGCCTAACAGTCAACAACTAGCAAGTTATATTAAAATGAATTCTCACCGCGGGTTTTGATCGGTCCACCATACGAAGCCCGTGATCTGATACTTCTAAAATACATGGCTGCATTGTAGGTTCTGCATTGCATTCCGAAACTATCTTCCTCACTGCTTGGCAGACCACCCCAGTTCCTTTGTGAGCCGATGTCTCCACAGACCCCATGTACCTGCCACGAAATAAATACTTAAAAAAATATAGTATCAACACCTTACTTGCAAAACCAGCTTACTCCTTACGAGCGAAATTTTCCGGAAACACTTATTAATATTTTGTAGTGGTTTGAAGTTGGCTGATTTTCAAATACTCAACGAAAAATAAATTCGACGAAATAACGAGTCGACTGGTTTGCCAATTAAGGTATCATCGATGTACAGAATATTAATATTGTACAATTATAAGAAAACATTTCATTATATATGTACATTACATTCTTGTCACGCCCACATGGCGGCTTGCGATATTTTTAGTATTATTTTTCTTGGGAAATTTTTGTACTCTATTAATGAGTTACTTTATTTTTGATGCTTAGTAAAAAAACTAGGACTTATTATTAATTCAACAGTTAATGTTATTTATTTTAATGATCTGACTGTCTATTTTGGTTGATTAAATTTTTCTTATTAATAATTTAATCAATTTTAACTTTTCTATCAACTTTATTAAAATTATATTTAAATTACATGACGATTTTTAATACAACAGTATTGTTATTATTCAGAACGCAGATATATTTGATTTTTTTACATAAATAAAAATTTTGCTATGTTTGTTATTGGTTCATGTATGCGGAGATGAATCTACAATTATTATACTTGAGAATTATTTTAAAGACGAAAATATTTCGCTCAATCCTTTCAATACAATAGCACATTTTCCTAAAACAGTTTTTTCGATTTACTTATTTTTTTCACGATTTACAATCTCTATTAATATTTTAGTATTTTGAATTATTTTAAGAGATCACATAATTATTTTGCTTTGTTGATTCTTTGATTTAATTTGACGAGTTCGTAAATAACCAATTAGATGAGAGCTAGATTCAAATTGTAGTTAACTTTTAAGTAATGGAACTTACGCTAGAAGATATCTTTCCTTTTTATCTTTAGCATTAGCAGGATCAAAGTCATTGTAGTCCATATCTACGGCATAAGCTGACGGGAAGATCCCTTGCTGCCCCGTCCTTAAGTTGACTCCTGGAAGTAAAAGAGTTTATATTTTTTTTAATGCTTTATCATCATATAGTCCATTATTACCACCAATTTTAAGCATATCTTTATGAAGAACAGAGAAAAAGTTGTTACACGTAGTAGAGATGGGAATCGAAAGATTGAGATTGAATAATTAACCACAAGTATCAACTTTATTAATAATATTATAGAGCGGTGTGAAGACTAGACAAAAGTATAATCAAAGGGAAGTGGCGATCGATAGAAAATATCATATGAGTCCTCACTTAGCAGGAGATGACAAAACCGGGCTGTAAAGCAACTACGACGTCCAAGCTTTTAATTGATTTACATAATTACGTTTTTTTTTCACAAAATCTATAAGGCTGCAGCTCTTGTAAACGAGGACCTACAATGACTACAGGCACGAAGCACCATTCATAATTGTCTTGGATTCCACAACAGAATAAATCAGAAGATATTATTAGAAGAGAAGACAACGAAATAATTTCCACTTCTCTCACTGACTTCAATGTGGGAAACCTAGAATGACTTAACCCTTAAAATCAGATAAGACTACACAACTGGAGAAGCCTGGTGGCTATTCAACATGGAGTTTTGATGAAAGCTAACTGGGTCCTAAATGTGAGCTAAGCGTACGTGTAGGGCAATGCATGTTAATTATTATTATTTAATGTTGACTTTATCGGGAATCATTATTTTTTCTTAAATGTTTAATTATGTCAAAAGTAGTACCTTCACACCATAAATCTTCAGCTTCTTTCTGCACATATATGGGGTCACCAATTTCAACTTCGATTTCATCGTGATGCCTAGGGTTGAACTTGTGTAGGCCTCTGTGCGTAGCTTCAAGCATTTCTAGCTGGCTGTGAGGAATATTTGTCATATTTCCAGCAAAATTGAGCCCGCTGATGCTGCAACTCGAAGCTGGAGATACTGGAAATTAATATTTATTTATTTATATAAATTTTAATGTACAAATTTATGCCTACAAATAGCAGGCTTGTAATTTTAGTACATGTTAGTATTCGTGGGGTGATTACGCTTCAGACGTGTTTGTTATAATCTTACTAAAAATACCTATTTCATTACATATTATTGGCAAGAAAGAAAACATGAGTGTTTTTAGCTGCTATCTGTCACCATTTGTGTTGTGCTATTGATTAATTTTATTCCAGGCAAGTCAATAGTAGAATCTATCTCAAAACATTTGATATTCTTAAAACGATTTTAATTTGGCTATGAATAGCGTTAATTCTAAAACATTTCAGTCTAACAAACTATAACATTAGAAGAAAGTTGAATGTAAGTCATTTAGAAACTTAAGCTTTCATTGATTTAGAATCAAGACGTTTCCAGTTTAAAAGAAGCTATTCTAGAACAATGAGGTCATAAACCTGTCTCGACCACTCCCACTAGCGTCGGACATTAAGGTAAACATAAACTGTTGTGTGCACTAACCATTTTGCTGTAGCGGAGTCGGCGATATACTCTTGGGTCCTGTATCGATCGGCGAATGCGCAGTGCTGTGTCCACTGTCGACATCCCCAAGGCTTTGTAATCTCTCCGAGTCAGGGCTTGAATCTTCATCCAGGAGATACCCACATTTCAGGACAAGCAGTGGTCTTGTGTGACACCCAGGCCTGACCAGCACCCCGGTAACTTGGCCGAGTTCGTCTGCCAGCGACGTTGACTGACTGCATGCTAGAATTTTTGCTGGAAATATTTAATACGTCCTCAGTGGCTTTGGGCATTCTAAATCACTGATTATGATTTTCATATCAAAATGAAGATATAGAGTGATTTAGGTGAGAAGCAATGAGGAAGGTGTATAGACGAAAATTCCAAAATAATAGAGACATTTTTGTCATGGACTTTTTCCCATAAAATGTTCGAGTCCGCACTAAATAAGTCTTAATCAAATGCAACATCTGGTCTATTTACGTCGAAAGACTAGAATCTGCCCTCCACAACCTCTATACTACCGTAAATGTAGCTGTATTATTCATTTTCAGATTTTAAATTTAATAGCTAAAAAGACTAGTAATGACACTTGTATGTATGATAAGTAAGATTGAAGTTTTAACGAGGGATAGCCACCACCAAAAAACCCAATCCGTTACCACTTTTTGCTTGGCGGGTAACGAAACCGTAAATTATTAATGCACAGCAACTGTATAACACTTAATAATGAACAAGGTAAATGCAGTCCACAAAGTTATTTGGTAAGTACGACAAAAATATAGGTTCATTTAATTCGGACCAGTAACCATAGTTTGGCTATAGATCCAACCAACGGTTACAAAGGATGTGGCTTCATTAAAACCATGAAATTTTGTTTAACAATTGCCGTAGTATTTGTAGTTAGTGTTTATTTTCTCACGTCCATGCCAAATAACTATGCAGACTGCCAAGTACATGCAAAACTGCAATATTGACCGTTAGTAACGAGCTTGTAATAAAACAAAATATTACTTAAAAGTCAAGGTTCTGGTTAAAGCTATCATAGTTTTTTCGTACGCTTGTTGTTATCACAAGTAATTAAACAAACATTCTGAGAAAAAATTGAATAGTTTTTCTGTTAATGAATTAGATTATACATAAACGCTATCCTATGCGAATGAAAATATGGTTTTTTAACAATACACCGAAATAACCACTTATCTTTGTACCTAATACACAGCTTATGCATAAGAAATTACACTGAAATACTAACAACCATGTGCACAGATTATTTATTTTTGTTATAATACTAATATAAATGAATTAAATATTTTGAAGTTGATCGATACGTTTCATACGTATCGATCAACTTCAAAATATTTAATATAATTATGTATTTTCAATACAATAAAATATTACACTCACTTTCCCCAATTCCACCAAAAAAGCCTGGCATCGTGAAATCCATTTGGTACCTAAGTAATATTTTGTTTAATTACAACGAAAATAAAAAGTATGACGTTTACACCAGTTGAATAATCAATTAGGTTACCACAGCCACGTTCTCTGCCATTGGAGTGAATATTTATTGGCCCTATATAGGCCAATAACTACGCTAGCTGTCACAACAATTACCTACATATAGTCGTTAATATTTAATACACAATCAATTGCATGGGCGCTGTAGCAATAGAATCCATTAGCATATTGTTATTTCAAGTCGCGAGCCTACTTATTACATGTATAATCTGTGGTGGCTACCACCAAGTAGTGAAATGATAAGAAGGAATAAAGTACTCACATTTCCTATTCTTAGGAATCTCTGGCAGCTTTCTTCTTTTGCGTTCGCCATTCGTGAATGCATAATGCTGTGGGCTCCTTTGGGTTTCTGTAATATCTGGCTGTGAAGGCGTTGAAGCTATTTCCTCTTTTACTGTCGTGGTTGCAGCGTTTCCATCCACCATGCATGGATGCATGTCCTCTTTAGTGTCATCTTCCGGCGTACACTCACTCTTAGAAGACGGGGAGTCATCTTCCAGACCAACATTTGGCACTAATCTGAAAATGTTAGATAAATCCTTCACTTTCCTGTCCATAATTTTTAAGTCAAAATTTAGTCTTACAGTATTTTACAACATTGTGCGCATCTGAACTCTTTATTACAACCTCACGTGACAATTAGTCTGAGTAGATTCGTGATTTCTTGAGTGGGTTGTAAGGTGAGGTGTAAGAAAAGTATGTGGGAAGGTGTACTTACGAATAAAACGGTGTTGGAGCTTTTATATGTTGAGGTAATCTATCGAAAACACGGCGAAATTCTTCAAATTCGCTATCAGCCATGTCGCTTTACACCTGATTGTAGGGTAGAGAGAGTGCCGCATGCGCGACCTGCCCCCCGCAACTGTATCGACCGAGTACGGAGGACGTAGCGCGCTGTGCGCATGTTCGCCCCTAGTGCGCGGCTCGCTCACACCCCTGCAGGGCGCACGCGTGCACTTCGCACCCCTACACTAACACGCGTCCGTGTGTCTCACCACGGACGATGCATCAGCGGGAAATCCATTCAAAACTTAGGGTTGTCAAAATATGTAATTTATTGTAAAATTCATACTTGGGGGCGCTTGTAAGAATTCACTGACACACCACGCGAATTAATATACGCGCAAAATGGATTATTAAATTGAAGTGACAAACCCTTGATTCTTGTTTGAGCGAGACCATTTTTGTATCATAAAAATAATACTAGTTTAGTATAAGTACTTATCAAATTTTTCTTGCTAAGAGACATGTTTTGTATTAGTTTTGCTATACGTACTCATATAAACCCAGAGTATGTTTCACAAGTCGTATATGTTTTTATATTGCCTTGAACTAAATAATACTTCAATGTGAAGCTTTTTTCACTTCCCTTCTGTCATTGAAAATAGATGACATTTTTCTGCTACCTTGGACTATAAAACCATTACTTGACACTGAATCCAGGTGCTATCATTAAAGTTTATCACACAATTACCTAACCCACATTTAATATAATATAATTAGATACATGAGAACTTCACAGCTTGTGTTCAGTTTTTAAAGATCTTATCATTATGAGTGTGACAGCCATGCTTCGGCACGAATCGGTCGTATCGAGCGGAGTGATACCACGGCTTCACAGAAAACCGGCGTGAAGCAAAACTTACGTTATGTTTCGCCGTGTAAGTCTTCCACCCTACCCCCATTCTCAATCCTTAAATTCCGAATAAACAACAAGAGGCCTGCAACGCTATTGTAAAAACTCCTTTGGTACTACGAGTATCCATGGGCGGCGCTGATTGCTTACCATCGGGTAATCCAAACATCTATACGTAATGCCACGGGCATTTTGTAATACTACATATATCGTAATTACTGACATTATATTTATATTGACAATTATCTATATTAATATTATAAAGAGGTAAAATTTGTAAGTTTGTTTGTAGGGGGTAACCTTTGGAACCGCTGGTCGGATTTTCAAAATTCTTTCACTGATAGATAGCTACAACGTTCCTGAGTGCTATAGGCTAAATCATCACGCTACGATCAAATGGAGCCGAGCAGCGGGTGAAACCGCGTGAGAGTAGCTAGTATGTAACAAAATCAGCTTTGTGATTACATTTTACTTAATAACCATTTTTAATTATATTTTTATCTCTTTAGGATATCTAACGGTTTCCTAAAATTTTGTGATGTATATGTATTTTTTTGTAATGTATGTATGTTCCTTAAGTATCTTCTTGTCCCTATGACCAACAAGTGGAAATTTTTTTTACACGTAATAAATAAGTGCTTGAGTCAACCCTGAATATTATTAAACACTTTCGATGAGCGAGAGTGGATATCAACTCCCACGTTTCATTAATGGAGATATTGTTTCCTGCGCTTTGTTGGCATATCGAGGTCGGTTATATAGGTTGTATATCTACAAACTATTCTTTATATAGACTGTATAAACTTCTAACAATTTTATAATTAGTAGGACTATCAACCGCTCAATAACTAAAGTTATTGCTGATACTGCACAGTTGGTGCGGTGGCTGGGCAACTGGCTGCCGTGCAACGTGGCGCGGGTTCGATTCTCGCACGGAACAACTCTTTGTGTGATCCCCAAATAGTTGTTCCGGGTCTGGGTGTGTGAAATTTTGTCTTTGTAACCGCACCCACGACACAAGAGAAAATCATAAAGGGGGGCAACGTTTTTTTTAAAAAAGTGTTCCGTTGATCTGAATCTAAGAAACCGTTGACACTTCTGACTGACCCGTAACATAGTGTTATGCGTGCGTTGTCGACCTTCAAGGGGTTTGTGATTTCAGGACTGGGGATTTTGGCTGAGGTAGGGATAGTTTGACTGTGGTAATCTCACCAGAAATACAACACTGTGGTTGTTTCACTCTGGTTTTATGTGAATCCGTGGTATAAGTTATGTGGAACGTTATACCAGTCGCGAAGTATGGCGCTCTTACACTGAAATATGTATATTTACAGATATTTATTACAATTTTGGTATGAATGTTTGTTTCCATAAACGAAAATCAGGTGACTAACAAATCCTAGTACGAAACAACTTTAAAATCATAGCAGTAACTTGAAAGCTTCTCTTTAAAGAATTATTAATTTCGTAAAAAGTGTTCATTAATTGTTTCAAAGAGTTCCAAGTTTGCAGTAGATTTAACCTGAAATTAAATTTTCTCCGTCTAACTTCGCCATCCCTAGAGAATAGCGTTAATACAAAGTTTTAATGAGAACAGATCGGTCAGGATTTTTACACATATTACACCTTCTTCTATTGTTTTTAGGGTTCATTTTTGCACTCGCTTAATAACCATGTATTTTTATATTATTTTTGTTTACCAATACCAACTGAGAACGTTTCATGATCCTCAAACTAACCAGTTATAACCGCATTTCAGAAAAATACTTTTTTTTAAATATATTTATAATTTTTCCCTGCTGTATGTATTTCCTGCTTGCAATGATGTTTACATGAAATCAAACAAGTCTTCGAGAAATATTTTTTTACTGTACTACTTTGACTAGCTAAGCCTTTGCATTTTCAAACCTGGAAAGTACTGATGTAACGTTTTCCGAATTAAATGTGCTATGTGCTATGTCGAAGAAAAACACAGAGAAGAACCTATATTTACATGATATTCTTTATTAATTTGCTTTAAGCACGTCCTTAAGCTGCGATCAGACACCGAGGAGTGGGCAGCAGCATTCCATCCATGTATCGATCTAACTGCGATCCCCAAGCCGCCTGCCATTCGTGGGGATTATGGCAATAACCCTCTCTTTTAAGGAGGAGGCCTTTGTCCGGCAGTGTACATTTACCGGCTGATGATGATGGTGATGATGATAAAAGTATCTCCTCGTATGTGGAAAAGTAAGCCGTTTTTAGAACCAAACCCGTTGATAATCTTAATAGTAGCATAGACCAGTGCCTAATGTGTTATGATGACAGCTGTAAGCATGTACCTATGTCCTCTGAATACCCCATTGAGGATAAAAAGATATAAAATCGCATCTTTCATTTCATTATACATTTTCTAAGTCTAAGCAATTTTTGGCCGAAGTACATTCTCAAATAGCTTTACATTTTACACAGATGATTCCTTAATAAGATTCAAGCTTATTCGTATTATATCGGAAACGTGTTTCTGTGATGGTTTTTTAGCAATTGACTTCTTCCGTCCTTTGTGTTTCTTCTCCTGTCCCAGGCCGGGGTCGCAGGACATTCCAACGATTCCAACATCTGCCATATTAGGTCCCATTTGTGGTCTTGTCTAATAGTTCTTCGAAGCGCGCGGCAAAGAACGCTCCGTACATTTAAGTCTGGTACTCATGCTTAATGCCGTACTTGATAGTAACTTAGAAAGCTGCATCCAAATATACAATAACCGTCCTTTGAATTTTGATATTTTATCAGCATAAGCAACAAATACCATAACAAATCATATTCACAACTAGTTACTCTCACGCGGCTTCACTCGCTGCTTATGGCTCTATTTAATCGTAGCGTGATGTTTTATAGTCTATAAGTACTCAGGAACATTGTAGCTATCTGTCAGTGAAAGAATTTTGGCAATCCGATCAGCGGTTCCAAAGATTACCCCCTACATACAAGCTTACAAATACCTCTTTATAATATTAGTATAGATAAATGTTCTTCACTCACATAGCTTATTTATTTATTTACAATAGGATCAGCTTTGAACAATATTTACGTAACTGTTGTACTCCGTTTATAGGAAAAGTAGATTTGTTTGTCAGATAAAAAAAATACATTTAGTACAAGAGCTCTCATGCGTTTGAGGTCGGCGGAGACCATTGTGACGTCTGGCGGAGAGGCTTACCGTGTTGACAAAACTCTTGGGACGTGCCCTCTTCTCGGCCGACAGGATGAGCGATTACGAGCCACAGCAAACACGGCGACTGGCTTTTCAGTTATTTTTAGACATTGCGACTCTATGTACATTGAAATAAAATTGTAAATTACTTTTCTTCTGAACTGTTCTCACTTTCTGACCTATGACCGAAGGCAGAAATCAAATTTTGTTTACTTTATATGTTTTAGTAAGTAGAGCTAGTTTAGGCTTTTTGAGCATCCTCTTGCCGTCAAGCTGCATCGTCTTTCGTAAATCTGACTTTCTTCACAGGAGGACGGTCAAACCAAAATGTACAGGTTACCTGATACAACAACCTCCATGGGCTATCATGTACCTGGGTCAAACCAAGGTACATGAGAGCCCATGTAGGTTGTTTCTTACTATGTGTATAAACTGAACTAATTTGTTTTTGTGCGTTGTTTTGATGGGCTGTAGTATAGTCTATAGATTTATGGGGCTTAGACCACCGGTAACCCCACTGTCATGGCGAAACACAACGCTGTGGATGTTTCACACCGGTTTTCTGAGATGCTATCACTCCAGTTGAGCCAACCCATTCGTGCCGAAGCATAGCTCTCCCATAGTTAAAATATATTGAATATATTAAAACAAAAAAATGGGCTATAAAAACTTAATAAATATTTTTCTTGTTTAAAAAACTGAACCGTTATTTGGATGGTGGAGATGGTTTTATGCTATTTTTAGAAATCAAAGCTCGAGAGCGGAAAATCCCCTATTTTCCGCCTTTGAGTTTTAATTTGATTGACACAATCAATACTGTAAACTCAGATGTGAATGGAACAGTCAATCATGCTGAACTTACAGAATATAGATCTTAGTAATGTGGTTATTATCAAAGTTAGTGATCTGGTTCGCATGACTAACTATCTATTAATATTAATGAAAGAACCAAACGTTCTATCCAAAGTGAAAATGTTTAGCTGTGTAGGTACTTACTTGTTCTTAAATTATTATAACTTTTACGCTCGTTTCAACGACAGACCGACATCAATAAAATAATATCAACTAAAAATTCCAGACGGATTCCTAGTTTGCTAGGTAACACCTCTGCTCATAAAACAAGCTGGGCCCCGGCTGGCAGCGTTCCAAATTACTCACAAACGGCTTTAGGACATCCCGAATTACGTCCACAAGTGGGATCTCGGCAGCAGTATATTGACCCTGCGTCAATATATTTTTTATAACTAATTTTGTTTTGTCTAGCTTCAGAAAACCAGAATATTAGAAGGTGCAAAACAAAATGGTACATCTTATTATAGTAATGCTAAGGTTTAAAATACAGCACACTTCTTTTTTGTGTGGGGAAAATCATCAAATGATTTGTCCCGCCCAGGGTGGGGCGGGAGGAAATTTCAATGTTCCTTCTCCTGCTCTAGCCGAGGCTGAACATCAGCCCTATAGGGCCCCGATTGGGTGGTCTATTGGATCTTAAAGTAGCGTGCGGAATGCAACGCGCCGTACCCTCGAGTCTGGTTTTTTGGGCGGCGAGCTACCCTTATTCGCCGTCCTCAGACCCACGCTTACGGTAGCCGGAGATCATCTCTCGATCCCGTCGTCCAGCCCAGCCACCGCAGTAGGCAACGCCTACTGCGGTGGCTGGGCTGTGAGGAAGAGAGCACCCTCACTTCCTTTCGCTCCACACCATGGCCTCGACTAAGGCCGGGCGCGGTAAGTCGCCATCCTTTAGTTCATAATCGTAGGTTGACTGGTCATTATTATCGAGTACAGCTTTCTTTCGAGCCGTGATGAGCTCGGAGACACGGCTACCTTGTTGTTCTAGCCTCGCCAGGTGCTTAGTTATTTACTTTACGTTATTTTCTCTCCACAGGACTCCAGGAATGGATAAATGATGGAAAATTAAATACACATATTTCAATTTTAGCTCGTTATGGTATGTAGATATAATTTTGGCAGGAGTGCGCCTACTTGATAGATCAGAATCTATCAAAACAACGAGACATTTTAAAGGTATAACGGTTTTTCTAATTTCATTTACCTAAATGTGTTGTCTAATCAATACAAATGAATAAGTTTAATTCAGTTATTAAGTATATTTAATTAAACCGTTTATAATGATGATACCGTTTATAAAGATCAGTTTACCTGCAATAACCTGGAAGAATAACTGAGTCTTAACCTAGATAAGTATACTATCCTAAGTAAAACAACCTGTATATAGGTTGCGTCTAAAGTAAATTATTGTAACTAATAGAGCACTAACCTTATTGTTCGCACACTGTGGCGTTATTTTTAATTTAGTTTTCCACCATAGACTAGACTGTAATAAGAAATAAATTACTAAATGATCTTCATCGGTTTTCTCTATACCAATGTAAAAACAGAAGAAAGATTTTTATTGCTTGTTTGTATTGAATAGGCACTGAAACTATTTCAATGATTTGAAAAACTCTTTTGCTATTACGGTGAATCCATGGTGAATAAAGGCTAAATACCACGCGGGTGAAACCGTAGGGCTCAGTTATAGTAACATACGGAGTACCTTATTGTTTTCAGATTGTCACATTGTTTCTAACTTAATCTTCACCGAAGAGCAGAGAGTATAGGAGTATAATAGTTTAATTAATTACAATCCGAATAATTTTGAATGATCTTATTGTTAAAGGATTTATATATTATTGATTAACCTTTAGAATGTCCATTTCGTAATTGTTTTAGGTATAAAACTGAATCTAGTTTTGAAACTCACAATGATGACTTATGATGCGAAAATCAAACGAAATCATATTGTATTCCTAAGTTGTAGAAACATATACCCGTGTCAAAATAAAGCCAAAAATACAAAACTGTGTAGTAGTTTGTGCGTGACGTACTCCGTCATGCAACCCACACACAAATCAATCATGATATTTTCTTAAAGTTAAATGAAACATAACGAAAGGAAGTCTTTGTGTAAGGCCATAAAGCAGTATTGACAATACAATACTCTTGATAAAGGAGATGAATGCTGGCGTAATAAACAAACATCAAATCGTTGCAAATCAGAAAGGCGCTTGGGAGGCGTCTCCAAGGAAATTGAATTAAAAGCACCCTCGTCTGCGACTCAAGTCAAATCTATATTTACACTTTCAAATATATATTTGCTTATTGTTCATTGATAACAAAATATTCCTTGTACTTTATAGAGATAGATTTCACTTTAATACGTCTATATAAATACACAATAAAAATATAAGAGAAAAGAAGGGATTTATTTTTGCAAAATAAAGTTTTCCTTTGAACCTACAATATAATGTACAATGTCATACGTTTACCATAAAACTTGAAATATTGTGTGGTGATTTGAGTGTAGGAGAACCATGATTTGGCTCTAGTGGTTCAGCTCAACCGGAGTGATCAGTGACCCCGGCCTCACAGAAAACCAGCATGGAAAACCAAAGCGTTGCTTTTCCCCATCGAGTGAGGTTCTGGATGCCCAACCTGATGGTAAGTAATGGTACTGCATCTATCAAAAATTAAGGTCAAAAAGTCATATGAACCGACCTCATCAGAACTTTTCAACGAACAATTTCATAGTACCCCCTATACACATCGAGCGAAGTCCAGTGTCACAGTCATCTAGAGGTCGCAACTTGATCTCGAAGACGCTAGGTGTGCTCAATAGATCGGAGCAGTTTTTTAACTTTTCAACGCGTAAGTTCGGCCCCATATGGAATACCCCATCTTTAGGCGGGGACACCTCAGTACCAGTTTCATCCTCTTGATCGCATTCAGCGACGGGCTGTTTGAATCGTTGACTGCCCTGTTGTTTCGGAACGGCTGGACTTTTTGACACTACGTAAGGATGCCTCGTTATGTGTTCTCTATCGCATGTACCACGAGGAGTGTTCTGAATTTATTAAAATTTATTGATTGTACAACGTATAAATAACACTTATTTATCAAAATTACAATGCCAAATTTTGGTTTTATTTCGTTATATATTTCTTAACATTATTTTTATATACACTGTATAAGGTGTGTTTTCGATAGGGCCCTTCCGGTTCACCTTAAATGCTACATAAGTTGAACACTAGAATTTACTGCACTCTATCTCGAAAATGGTAAATACAAAAACGATAGGTGAAAAAAACTTTGAAACAAAAGTTGTTGAGAATTTTTTCCTTTATAATATTGATCATAAACACAAATCGCGCAAATCTTATAGGGAACGAGATATTTGCAGAAAAAGTATCGATTTTGTGACCTTAGACCATAATTTATGACAGATGGGGACAGCTTATATTATATGTAGGTTTTAAGATAAGTTTTAGGATACCAAAAGAAAACTTTATATATAGATTCTGATGTGAAACTACTAAGACGACTGGACTATACGTAAGTTTTAAAATTTGAGAATTAGTTATGTAAAGTAAGCACCCAATGAAAGAACAGGCAGCAGCGCAGGCATTGTTTGCACGCCGGTATTCTGTAAAGTCTTACAGACGCCAATTACTTATCACCAGCTTGGGCCTCCAGTAACCTCACTCGAATGGCAAAAATGCCACAGATACCACAGGCAAAATCGCTCCGGTAAGGCAGTTTCTTCGTACCAGGAAAGGTTTCACAAACTTGTTTAAAACAGGTCAATAATAATTTGCACCGAAAAGCACGTAAATTATATTGTTTGAAAATTCTAAGTACTTACGACAGTAAACATCCATTTACGAGCAACAGATTGGAGTAGAACATTGAAAGACATAAACTATAATGTTATATTTTTGTAATAATTACATATTCATCTTAGAATGGTTCATGTACTTGTATATACCAATGATATTACAAGTAAAATGGTATAGATAGGTTACATAAACAACATTCGATTTTCAAAAATGGGACACATAAATGCACTCATCAATAAATGCATGCATGATACACGTTAAAGTGGGATGGCATGATTCAATAATCGCGAGTGAAAAAGAGGCAAATATGAAAACGTTTGGCTAGTTAGCCACATTTTAATGTATCACTTGCTGAGCGCTTGTGACCTATCTACACCTTTTAACTTATAATATCATTGGTACATACATACATACATACATACATAAATTATGTAGGTTACATTAATTTTACTGTGGAGTGCGTAACGAGGCATGAATAAGTCAAGATAAAGAGAAACGTCACACCAGAATGAGCTTTTGTAATGGTCATGCTGAAACCACATGAGGGTCGTATCACATTTCCCTATGTCCAAGGATGAGAGCGATAAATATACTTACCGTCGTGTATAAATTTTATATCTAATCATTTCAATTGAGTTAATTTTTCAAGAAAAGTAACTTAATAATATATATATTAATACTTTTTCTTTTATTTTACTCAAAATAATATAAGATGAAGATAAATTATGAATCGTTGGCGCGGTGGTTGGGCAACTGGCGGCCGCGCAACATACGATTCCTGAAGGAAACAACTTTTTGTGTGATCGATAAATTGTTGTCCCGGGTTTGGGTGTGATGTGTATGTAATATGTGTGTTTGTTTACCCACGACACAGGACATAATTACTACACTACTCATGCTTACATCACTGACCATGCAGTGACCAAATATAGGGACACTTGAAAAAATAACACAAAGAGGTACACTAAGTAGGTCTGTAACGTATTTCTTTAACCAAGGATATCTATCCATAGTAAGGAAATAGGGCGAATAAATGGCGAAGCTCCCTTCTTCGTAATGAATGATAGGGGATGCTCTTTTCGCTAAACAATGGTAATAAATACAGTGACTGAATCGCTTAGCGCCCGTCAGCCAACAGTTACGAGGTTGCAGACTTGTGTTCAACTACACCTATAGATAAAAACTATGCTTGTGTGGGTAGCGACCATGTAAACTCACGTACACGTTAGCGGTCATAAAAGAAAAGATCTTTCTTTACCTTTATCTAGCTTTACTGAATTTAGTTTAACGATTGAAAAACATCTATTTGGTTAAAAAGTCATACGAGTACATATATATTCTTTTAGTATGTAAAGTATTAAAAACAATTTCGTTTCTGATTCCGAATTATAAATTTTTGTTGCAGTAATATATTTTTTACCATTGAAGTATTAAAAAAAACATTATCATTGAAAGTATGGAGTTGTTTTGTTTTGTATATCCCATCACTAATACGAAGAGTTAAAGAAAGATGTAAAAGTAATTATATCTATCGGTTATGTATTATCTTTCAATAAAATTTCAGCTTAGGCCTCAATGTAGGTAGGTAGTGTGTACTCATTACTAACATAAGAAAATCAATTAATATTACAATTTTCGAATAAAAATAAAATACAAAATAATTATAATAAAAACATTTAGAACTATAGTAGTGTTTGACATTTATAACTCAATTTTTAGAATATTAGGAAAGCTCATTGAGACTCTAAATAATACAAAATTTAAAAATAGAAAACATTTGTTCAGTGTTTGATAGTAAAGTGCTTTGCGGAAAACAAAAATAATATGAAAATAATTTTTCGCCCTGTCCCCATTTCTCGAAACGACATTTATAAGCTCCAGGATTAAAAACAAATAAAACGTCGCCGAAGTGTGTCCGTGACTTTACGGTGTGAAAAGAGAACGTTTTCCAAGTTACTCCGAACACTTGATTCAGCCAATCAAATATACCCACCCTCCGGCGAGTCTCCCGCGCCTCTTCTCTTTATAAGCGAACAGATCCCGAGGAAAGGCGCAGTATGTCCCAGTCGTTGCAGCGATACATCCCCAATTAGTCTAAACTATACTACCAAATCAGTGGTCTTTAATTCATTTATTCACGACACTTCTCACTTACTTGTAACTTGTAAATAATTCATTTAAAATCAGTGCATTTCAGTATTCAATTGGATTTACTTAAAATAAGTTTCGCTTTCAGAAACCAAAATGAGTGGTTCAGGAAAGGGTCTCTTGGGTCTTTGGCTCTATAGAAATGGGTCCGAATGGGAAGTTAAAAATGAAGCCCATCATCATCCCAAACTTGGGGAACTTAACATGGCGGCTCGACAGCAGACCCAGCAATTAGAGAGCGAGAGGATTTCAGTGATATTTACTCTGAGAAACCAAGTTGGGGGACTGGTCAAAGCTCTTACGGTGTTCCAAGACCTGGGCATCAATGTCCTCCATATTGAGTCCCGTAAATCTGTAACTGAAGTTTCCTCTGTAAGTTCTTCTTGATGGTTTCGTATTATCTATTATGTTGAGTTTTCCCATACCAAATTTTTATTTTTCAATACCGCCTTAGATTTCACGTTACTTGAACACTGAATTTCTTTACCAATCACTCATTACTGTTGTGATTTAAGTAAAATGTTTGTAATTGCGGTTACTAACACCTAAGTCGTGTTTATCGCTGAGTTTCCCTTATTACCAGTCATTATCCAAATAATTTTCAACATTTTCCGTACCATGTTATAGTTTTGGGTGATTTTGTTTAGTCTGACATTTTGGTGGATGTGGAGTGTGATCCCCATCGTATGGAGCAATTGAAGAGGATGTTGAAACGTGAAGTTCAAGACTTCGAAGTGGTATCGTCTCAAACTGGCGAAGAGTTTCCACCTCCGACACCATTATCTGCCGCTGCTAGTTTCGGTAATTATATTATTTTATTTGCAAATGTGAATATATGTTTTATATATTATTTAACATATGTAATGGCGATACTAAGACATTTTCCTTTAAACGTAATGGCTAATTTGAAATTAATGAAAGCGTTACGCTAGCTAATAGTATCTTAACGTTTTTTCTTTAATATTTACTGACGAGTCATTTCATATTTTTGTTGACTGTAATTAAAGAACTAAATGAGTTTCTTTGATGCCGAATTTGTTTTATAAAATATATTTGTTTCAAGACTCGTTTGTTATTCATGAATAAATTGTAAAATTTTCAACGAATTAAAAAAAAGATTCGTATTTAAATGCTCCTCGATTTAATAATATCAATTCACGTAATGTACACCGTATTTAAATTTTTGATCAAAGAGAAAGCCCTGTGATCGAATCGTCCTTTATGAATATTTACCGAAAATTAAAAGTTATTAAATAAGAAAAAACTTTTTAGATTTTGGTGAGATGCATTGGTTTCCTCGTAAAATATCTGACCTGGACCGGGCCCAAAACGTGTTGATGTATGGCTCCGAGCTGGACGCCGACCACCCGGGTTTCAAAGATCCAGTTTACCGCAAGCGTCGAGAACAATTTGCAGCCATTGCCAACAACTACAAGTAGTAAGTAGTAAAATTTGTAAGAACAGTTTCGAAAGTACTTCATCAATGAAAGTTTATAGTTTATAGTGTAAACTTTTATTGCCGTAGTACTAACTTTATTGACAGGAGCATTCTTTTAACTTAAGTTACATCTTGACAATAAAATCAATTCAATGAATTAATGCAGTAGGTAGTGTGTACTCACCTTAAGTAATTGGGTGACCCACAAGGATAAACAGTGTTGTGAACACAGCCTTCGTATATGGGTCGCTGATTTTCTAAATATCACTTTCCTAAATAGGCTATTTGTCTGTAAGATTGCAATAGCTACCTAGTAGTTTTCCTTTCTTTGGACAACTAAGACGAAATTCGTTAAAGATTAATAAGTAATTTACCTTATTAACTATAAATATAAGTGAATGTACCAATTAACACAATACTAACTCAATAAAGGTGTTTTTTTTTGTATTTTACATTGACAGATTTTCAAAACTTCAGTTTTAATTGAATCAATTACATACTTTTCGTACGATAATTACGACGATTTCGTTTTAGTTAGTTTTAGTGTTAATTGTAGTATCCGAGACTCCTAACACAGGTGCTGTATGCTTAAAAGAGGGCCATCCAATCATAAATATTGTAAATACTTAGTTTGATCTACTAATAAACATTTATTATTTTTTTCAATGATTATAATATACTAAGTACATGTGCTGTGTTGAAACACAACTGTGTGTGTGTGTGTGTCAAAGTGAAGAAAAGTTTTACCAGTATCGTGTAAGAAAGCTGAAGAAGTACTTTCATCGAGAAATTTGCTTATCTTTTTATTCAACTGCAGGCAGTCTTAAAGTAATTTTCCTCCGCACAGTCCTCAGCACAACGAGAGCCCGGTACTTGATTGGAAAAAATATCAATGTTTTGACTCATGGCTCGACGATTTAATATTTTACGGTTTTGATTTTCAAATAATAATAATAATTAGTTTTGATTTTTTCATCTGTGTGGCGAAAGCTGAAAGACAGACAAGTTTCCTGCTGTTAAAGGTTTTTTTTAAATTTAGTTTTTCTTTGTACAACGTTGGATTTCGGATGACTTAATGCCACCATTTTCTGGCGTTTTTAATAAATTCTATCGATCTCACATATTCGATTAAGGTATTTTTTATGAAATAAATATGTATAAAAACGAAATAACTGATGGTAAGCAACCGGCGCTGCCCATGGACACTGCAACAACAAAGGAGTGTAAGGTTCGGGTTAGCCTTATGGGGATAAGATTTTCGGATACTTAAGGATAACCTACGGGCCTCTGGTAACCCCACTCACCCAGTGAAGCACAACGCTGTATCATTTCGGTCCAGCCGACGCATTCGTGCTGAACCTTGGCTTTCCCATACTTATATACTTAGGTATGCTGCAACTAATTATTTTATTTTACAGTGGCCAACCCATTCCTAAAGTACAATATACGGATGTAGAAATAAAGACGTGGTAAGTGTTTACTAATATATTAATTTGTACAGCGCATTGTTTAAAAGCACGTTTTGTTTAATATTGTATTCTATTACTTACTTGTACCTATTTTACTATCAATAACTAGTACTATATCTGGTTAAGCGATGGTTTGCTCTTGCGACAAAAATGTTTACAAATTACCTTATGGAAATATCACTGCGAGTTATAATCATATTTAAAAATAAGAATGCTTGCGTGGTTAGAAATGTTAATTACATTATTAATTACATTATGTTTGATCTACCATTTTCTACGAGTAATTGATATTGTGTATCATTGACTAAGTCATTTCGACTTTGAGATCTATGGCTTTATGAACTGCCAGTTGTTCAAGTAAAATGTCTATGAATATTAACGTGATTTCATAAATTTGCAAATTGTATTTTGTACGATAGACTGCTGAAACTTTCGTCATCATAACCAATTGAATCTTGATTGATTCAGACTATTCTCGATATATCTAGAACTGTCAATGCTTCATTACACACACTGTAATAATTGTGTTAGTCATAGTTCTTTGTTTAGTAGTCGACTTGTTGCTTGTATTTGCTTAGGGAAGCCATCTATCAAACTTAATTATGTGTGTTGTCGCCTTCGAAGTTTCGAAAGCGCATCTCGCCTAGTTAGAGTGGCCATTATTGCTCCCTATGTAGATGACGAACTTTGGATCTTCGTTACAGGGGCATCGTGTTCCGTGAACTTCACAAACTTTACCAGAAGCACGCATGTGAGGAGTATCTCGAAAACTGGCCCCAACTCGTCAAGTACTGTGGCTATCGGGAAGACAATTTGCCTCAGGTCACTTCTGTTTAAACAAAGATTTATTAGAATAGAATACACATGTATCTGACAAGACTTAAATATTTAATAATAACTATCAACTATTTAAAAACATTATGAGATGTCATAATGCCTTATATAACAAAGATAATATTTTACTTTACTACCTTCGTCACTCAATTATTACATTATCTTAATTCCAACATTCATTATTGAATCGATATTATATAAAACATTCATAAATATCAGTTTGTATAGGTTATAACATCTGAACCTTTTGGCATAGAGCCAAGTACCAAATATTATGAAGGCTTTTATACTGAATTTGTAATTTATTTTCAGTTGGAGGATGTGAGCGCTTTTCTTAAACGTAAAACTGGATTCCAACTGCGGCCCGTTGCGGGTTACCTGTCGCCTAGGGACTTTTTGTCAGGTTTGGCGTTCAGGGTGTTCCATTGCACTCAGTATATCCGTCACTCTTCGGATCCATTCTATACCCCTGAACCGTAAGTATTAACTCTTCATAAAACTGCTTTCAGGTTTTTATCTGCGAAACTAAAACAGGGTCACACGGTCTAGCAAGTTTAGACAAAATTAAGTTTAGCCATTCAGTTTTATCTGACTTTTTTGTTGCAGTGACTGCTGCCACGAGCTACTGGGACATATGCCTTTGCTTGCCAACCCTAGCTTTGCACAATTTTCACAAGAACTCGGGCTGGCATCCCTCGGCGCTTCCGACGAAGACATCGACAAATTGGCAACGGTAACCGTACCTGTGTTGTGTAGCCAACCGAAATTTATTTATATGAATTGACCTGTGAAATTTTCGTTCACAATTTTCTACAAATTTTTATTCAACCTCTTTATTGATTGATTTTAATTTACTAAATCTGCTATTCAGATATCTACTCTAATTCTGTATATTCATCTTTATATACAGACGATATACGTATCTTTCAATTTTATCCGCATTATGTAATAGAAATAAACTATACAACTCACCCGACATTTTCAGTTGTTTTAGAAGAAACGTAAATGTTGCGTATAATTATTTTGTTATTTGAAATCAGGAAATATAAATCTTTGGACTCGTTCCATTAGGATCATGCATGAAAACAATGATACTACATAATGGTGATATTATATGTGTATATTTACAATTCTATTATTGACCGCCATATTGAATCTAAAACAGGTTTTGATGACGTCAGTTGGATATAATTATTTACAATAGAAAAAATTGTAATTCTATTACAAAATCTAAAATAACATTTCATTTTACTAGACTTTTATACAGTAAAATTATTTTATCAAAAATGTAAAACATCTAATATAAAACTCGGACATCCAACTCCCAGACGTTAAGGAATTTAGGTCCGTTCTTCAGGGACATTTTTTTCACTAAATTCATGATAATATTTTTCAGCTGTACTTCTTTACGGTTGAGTTTGGTTTGTGTCGACAAACTGATGGGACCTTCAGGGTGTATGGGGCTGGTCTTCTGTCTTCTGTGGCAGAACTCCAACATGCTCTTGTTACTCCGGAGAAGATCAAGCGCTTTGACCCTGAAGTGACTGTAAATGAAGAATGCATTATTACATCTTACCAAAATGCTTATTACTACACTGACTCGTTTGAAGAGGCAAAGGAAAAAATGAGGCAAGTAAACTAAGCTTAGGTATCATTTATTATTATTCTCTAAATTTCTATAGCTTGCTGATTTATGTGAATCGATTTACTTTTATTTCACTTATGTAGTAAAATAAAACAACATTCTTTATGAACCCAACGTTGGTACATAAATAAATACAATCTGCGGCAACAAGAGTTACCGAGTAAAACAATGTTGATACAATAATATACAAAATAAAGCAATAAAGTTCATTTAACACTTTAGCACGTTTTACAATGTTTTGAAAATAGTGTAACAAATGTCTACGGAAAATTACATTTTAAGATTTAGAATATTATCTAAAAGCTTTCGAAAATCAGGCCAAATGAAACTCAGAATGTTACTTATTGTGCCAACGCCAAAGCGCTCGGGGCCGGTAGGAACTTTTGGAATCATGTCTTCTCTTGGTCTTAGAAATGATGGACCAAGGGATATTCAACGCAGCCTTGGCCTAGAGCAGGAGAAGAAATGGGGGGTTTTTAGTCAGTAAGAGTCTGACACTTCTCGCCTCACTATAGGCGGGAGAAGATATAGAATTAGAATTTGATGACGTTCCCCTAACAAAAAAAAGGGTCACAGTGACCCTTCTTTGTGGAGCAAATATAATACAGTCCTGTTACAATATTAAGACATGATTAAATTGAAAATAGAAGCATTGAAATTAATTTTATTTCACAGAGCTTTCGCCGACAGCATACAACGACCTTTCGGCGTGCGCTACAATCCATACACTCAAAGTGTGGAGGTACTTAGTAACGCCCAAAAGATTACTGCCTTGGTCAGAGAACTGCGGGGTGACATCTGCATCGTGTCTTCAGCGATTAAGAAGATTTCTGCTCAAGACTCCACACTAGATGTTGAAACTATTGCTAACATGCTCCACACGGGGCTTCAGGTAAGCCAGAATCGATTAATGCAAATTTCACAATTTAGTACCTTTATAAATGCCATTTATTTAGCCTGCTCATTGTTCTTAAAATTGGTTCCGTATTACTGAAACTTTTGTAAACCTTTTCTAGTACAAGTAGCGCGATATTCTCGCGACTCGATAAAAACAAATATTGATTATCGTCAAACAATTGAAAATATATAATTTAGAGGAAAAAAAATGCTTCTATTGCCTTTGATTACGTAAAATAACTACATATTGTGCGTTATATATATTGGTAGTCAGAATTCTGAGTAATTCATTATTGTCTTAGTAAATTGATATTATGACTGACTGACTTTCTGTCTACGAATTGTGAAATTGAAATCATAAATAATGGGTGTTAGAACGCCTCAAGTGGGTTATGGTGTACAAAATCGATTGAAATATAAAACTTATATTGTGCGTGACTATGTATCGTTGCTCCGCGCTCTTTGTACAACCTTCATTTATATTATAATAGAATTTTCTTATGACTAACAAGAGGGCTGTAATTAATAAAAAGTAGGTTGCTACATAAATACATTACTCAGATACATATTGTATTCCTTTATGAAAGAAGAAAGCATTTTGCCGTTTTTTTTTTATAAAACAGATAAAATTTTCATTCAGATCATTCGCTCATAGAAAACTCCGTCGGCTTTTATTGTTCTCGGAAAATATTTTTAATGGCGTGTGTGGTTTACTTTATAATGTAATAAAATATGTGTACAAACATATACGTTCATTTTATATGAACGTATCTTTTCTTTGTTATTTTGATCATATTTTGTTATTTATTGTTATCTAGGCGTAATTATGAGTCATTAAACTACGGTGGAAAGCACTAAATTTTAATGTCTGTGTAGTTTTAAAATATTCAGCTCATGCGTAATTGAAGTTTAATTACTTCGCGCCACGCCAGATGAAGATGTCTTTCACGTAAACAGTATTAATTATAGGTGTTGGTATTAATATATATAAAAAAACTTAGTGATATAATAATGCCTCAATTAAAAGCTTTTTTTATCCCAAACAATATTTGTTTATTCATTCATTTATTGAATTGTTTCTAAATTACTTGACAAAAATTATCACAACGCAGGAAAACTCCATTTTGGTAGATATTAACTGGTATAATTGTACTTCCTTCTTATTTTAAATTGTATTTAAGTAAGTTTCATTATTTTTTCGTTGATCGATCGATCCGGTATTGTAAATAATATTGTTCACTTTAAAAGTAACTAAATCGTATTCGTTTTAAATAAGATCAAGTTTGGCGATCATCCAGAGTGCAAAAATGGGAAATTACTCTTGATCTAGATCAAAGGTGGAAGATGTATTATTATAGATATTAAACAAAGCATTCAGTTTCCTTCGCGTGATACCAGACAACAGATGTGAGGCCACGTAATTAAAACGCTGGATACATTATTACAGCATATACAAGTTATTTATAATTATTATGTTTTCGGCTTACTCACGTAATAATTTGACGAGATACTCGGCTAGTTTCAAGCCATGCCAGAGGCCCATATTCATGAGCAGCATTCCGCGACACGCAACGCGGCTGTCGCGCTGCTACTGGGTTAGAAGTTATTTATCTACTAGTCAGTAAAAATTCAGGATTATTGCCCGATGTTTGGGAATAGGCTTTTCTTTTATAAATTCTACACTACCACGTCACTTTTTAATTATGAATTTAGGATAATAGGTTAACCGAGGTTGCGGGGCTGGCAGGCAGGAAGAGAAACGGGGGAGGGAGGGGTTTAGTCAGTAAGAGTCAGACTCTTACTGACTAAAAACCCTACGTTCTTTCTCTCTACTGACCCCTCGCTTTAATCTGGGCGAGGTAATTGCCCCCCCTCCCCCAAATCATCTGACAAAAATGGAGAATAGATGATTAAAAAACATGAATATAAAGTTAACATCAAATCTTGCACTTAAAATAAATCGAATATTAATTAAAGTTCTTCTGCTGTTTTTCTAGAAGATGCATAAAGATATTGTAGAGTATTAACCACCGCTCGTAATAAGAATGGTCGATGATTTATGCAGTAGTACGTTACATTTATCTCTGTTGAATGTATAATAAAGAAATGTAAGTGAAACGTTTGATCGCGTATAACTCAATCAGTCAGCAATGAATGGCTGGCACTCGTATCCATCTCGCTCACATAAACTTTAATGGCGATTTAAGTGGTATTTTCTATTTATGCCGCCCAAAAGTAATCGTTCATTATATGGCGCCGGGCCACAACTGCCAGTCACAAGAATTTGTATGAATCACTAGCCCCCAGACGTTAAGCAAGGTAGAATGAGTCGCTACATTTTGCAAAGGTTTTCCGTTCAATGTGACCCGTTTTCTGGCACCGACCCTTTTTGTTCTCGTTAAACCCATTTTGCAACTACCATATAGTAATTAGTCTACATTATTTTCTGTTAATAGTTTTCCGTAAGGTCTTTACATAAAACTCATATTGTCAAAACATAGCCATATTTTATAAAAATGATAAACGATAACACATGTTTACTTACTGTTTTCCTCAACAAAGGGAAATATATTTTGACGTGATCAAAATAAAACTATCAATACTAGTCTTTGTTTCACCTTTACCAACCTATTCATAAAATATTCAGTGGAACGAAATGGTTTGAAATAGATGTTAATATAAGTGGTATGAACACAGTCCACTATAGTAAAATCCGAAATTGCTATTAATAACAACACAGCTACGACAATTATTGAAATTGTTTGTGAAATAATAAGTACTGGCGGCCGGCTTTACACGGGTGCAATGCTCGTACTAAAAAATGGCTTTACTATATAATAGATGGTATTATACATAGAAACCTTCCTCTTCAATTACTTTATTAAAAAGTCACATAAAAATCCCTTTCTTGGTTTTAGGATACATAGGGAAATAGGGATTCATAAAGCGACTTTGTTTTATACTATGACATTGATTGTCTCGACATTAACAAATTATGCAGAAAAATATTAAACAAAATCATGAAACTTTTAAACTGAACTAAAGCAAATACAGTAATAATATGTTCAAAAGAAACTTTTATAAACTAGAGTTTCAGTTTATTTACGACATACATTAGTAAATGACCAAGAAGAATTTAATACCAATAAAACAGTTGATGCTTTGGTTAGATCAGTAGCAAATAGCGTGACTCAATGATTTTATGTATTTTACACTGAATGATTTTATAATCATTTTATTTACCAGTGAAGTCAGGTTGGTATGTTTATTTTTCCATTAGCAGAAATTATTTAGAAAAGCTTATGTTTTCTCTACAGGTTGCGAGCTAATTGGATGTGTCTGTAAAATCAGTCACAATGACGTCACAACAATAATACGCCATCAAATGTTATTCTAATATTTATGTTTGTTTAGGTCCAAGAGCGGAGTCCTCAGAGCACGTCAGGGGGTAGCACGCCAAACTCGGAACGCGGTTCGTCTCCACGACATGAGCCAAAGAAACCCGAACAGTCTGACATCTGAAGGAATGATTCATCTCTTTCCATAACTGTGATCGCTAATGCTAGGTCACGCTTCTAAATCGGGTCATGATAGCTTACTTCATGATATTAATAATGTTATCTTCTTCTACTGTGTACTTGTAGGATGTATCGTATTATAAACTCGTAGGCGGGAGTATCTATACTTAGCTTTACGTACCTAAAGGTATTTCATAGTTTACTGTTACTAACATTCATAGTCTACGTCAGAGTTGTGTATGTAATAATATACCTGTATTTGTCTTAGTACGTTACTAAATAGTTCATTATTTGCTTTATGCGTGTATCTATCATAAATAAAATTAAAGTAGCAAATGTACTTTTTGTTTTATTTGTCTTACCTGTCTTTATGAAACACATACATAGGTGTCTTGAAACAATGTGTCAATTGTAGCAATCAAGTGAATGAAGGAATCTGTTTTCCTTTAACATATTGACTACTATTCATATGTAAGTACCTATAGTTATTAGTCCATTAGTATAACCGAAGCTTGTCATTGTTAAATAATCTTTTTTTGGTTTTTGGTAAAAATAGTAATAGAGGAAATAAATATGTAAATAATCAATATGGAAGTTTTATCGCAACATCAGTGCTGTCGAAATCAAACGATCAGAAACTATCAGTCAACACTTGCACATAACTGAGCGTTCGGGACTATAGTTCCAGTTTGGCAACACGCCAGAATATAAAACCATTAATTTTTTTTAAAACAAAGTGATGCAACTGTTTAAAAATGAGGTCGGGTTCAGAACTCGAATGATTTAAGATGTAGACAAAAATTAAGATAAAAAAAATTAAGTTATAGAGCTACAAATAATTTATGCTCATAATAAAATGTATGGAGCATATATCGTTTTGAAATTGGTTGATATGAAAGTAAAGTATAAAGAATGTTAAATAAAATTCCGTATAGCGATAATTATGTTGAGATTAAAATGCGGAACGTTGTATCTGGTATAACGCTAGTCCTTGGCAATGCTTCTTGAATTTAATTATAGCTACTTACGTATCTGTCAAAATCATATGAAAGTTGGCAAGTGAACGACAAGAGTAGTTTTAAAATTAGAAATAACATTGAAATTTTGGATGTCACGTGTTTAGTTAATCCGCTTTCATCCAGTTATGTCCATAGTTTAAAAGAAAAAAAATATGGCCAGACTTTTTTCCAAAATTTACGACATTCTTGACATTATTTGCAAAAATAACACTAATAAGTAGGTCGAGACATGTCTTATAAACTCTTTTTTTCTTTTGATATTTTTAATACGTTATGTATTTTGTTTTTACCAAATATTAATTCTATGTACGTCAGATTTAAATTAAGATTTAGTCACAGAAAACTTCGGCTGAGTTCGTCTCAGTGAAGTTTTATAAGACTAAAAATGTTTATTAGTTAGGTAAATTTATTTAGTCAATGACAATTTGAAAGGTTTTTTTTGTTTAAGTCCAAATATACATATACTAAGGTTACTGGATCGATTCACAAAATATGAATATAACTACAAGAAGAAAACTAATTTCTTCAGAAAATATTACGTCAGGTACACAGTTACGCTAGTGTGCGTAGTGAGTTAATGGAATCGTTGGCGACTGAATCCCTTTCTTTACCTTCCTTAGGTGGCAAGCGGGAACAATAAGAAAGATGGTGGCCAACGTCATAAATAAAGGTTACGGGGCGTTTACTACTATTAAAATATTGTTCTCTTGATATACTTTTAAAAAACTGCAATGTCATTATTTTAAATGTAAAATCTGTTTATGCACGAAATTTAGATAATAATAATATATAATTCAGGTAATATATATTACACACGTAACAAAAATTCCTATTTAAATAATTCAATAATCTAATGTGAATATAACCTTAACATACATTAACAAAATTACACAAATGATTGTACTTTGACAAATTAATTTTCTCTGGAATATGAGCCACAAATAGGTCAGTGGAACAACCGTAGCGAGCAAAGATGGGCGTTATCTTTGTCACTTGACTGAGGCCGAAACTAACTTCTAAATCAATAAGGATAACATGAATTTTGAATCTGTTAGGATTTTCGGAGTCGCGTGAAAGTTGTAAACAATCGGAGCAGCCGCTCGCAGAATTGTGGAGGAGTAGGGTGCCAGCTTCCAGCAAGCAGGCCCACGGCCGCAGTCGCGCTCAGACTCCGCCGCGTCGCCACGCCACCCGCCGCCGTCGCTTGCTTGCTTACTCGCAAATCGATATTACCGTATTTACTGTACCGTCGCACATGCACGCCTTTTAATTACACATACATTTACGAATGTTAATAGTTTTATACCGTACTTTTGCATAAGTTACACTGTTATAGTAAAGTTTTCGTCTCAAGCAGTTTATTGTCTTCGTGACAGCTTTCAGACAGAAAGTAAACAACAGACGCTGAAACACACGAAAGCGTGTATCAGCTGTTTTTGCGTTAACAGCTGATCATTTTTATGAAAAACGCATGAAGCTATGGATCTTACATTTTTCAAACAAACTAGGTTTACGGAATTCGGAGCTATTTAAAAAATGTCTGTGTAGTAAATAGGTGAAGATAGCGTATTTTGATACCGTCACTGATTCGATGAAGTCTTCCAGATCAGCGTGGCGGCGGGAATGTTTTATGGTGAAACGAATGATGTTGTAAATATAACGCGAACGCGACTAAATGGCGTGTGCGCATGGTCTTCTGGTCGTTAATAGATCTTGTGATATATGCTCACGATCTGAGTGTATTAACGCGCGGATAAACGAAGGCCGCGACTTGCGTGGACGTAGCGTCGCACCGGGGAAGTTGGCACGGTGCGCGCGCGCGGCGCGTCGTGCTGCGTGACGTGGCCACGGGCCCTGACTCGCGTCTAGCGTCTGTCAGTACAACCTTGCTCGCGCTGAGGACATGTCCGTGTTATGGATTACCAATGCATCGTCGTGTACACCGTCATCAACATCGCGCCGCCGCGGCTCACCGCACAGGCAACTCAGATCTCGGACGGCTGTATCACCTGGTTCAAAAATAAGATCAAGAGGTCAGTATATAAAAAAACTACTATATTCAAAATTAAATGTCGTTAACAAATTAATTACCTCGTAAATGCAACTCTGGAGGCAAGGAAACTGTAACACAAAACACACAAGTTTACGGACCGGAAGTTACTAACAATAGTTTGTTGATGACTAACATTTTATTGGTACACAAATCACAAGCTACTCTACTGAGTACGATAAGAAAATTCTTCGTGAAGATCTTAGATTTGTTGTTGATTTCATTCTATGAAATATTAAAATAATTTATTCAGGAAACGATTAGCACCTGATTAATAAAAGAAAAAAATAGAAAAGAAGGTTATTGAATAAGTAGGCAATCATAATTAATTAACAAAAAAAAATATTCCTTTGACGCGGCCATCAACAAAATTTTAATAAAAAGTTTGTAAAGTTTCTCTTTGCGAAACAATCTTAGAATTACACTGAACTTTACGCAAATGGTTTCATCGCTAAGAACATTTTATTAAATAGATTATTAATAGGTATTGTGTAGTAGTATATTCAAATATACTAATAAGTAATTAAAAGGCCTTAAAAAGGAAAATTATACGAAGTAAAGTAGGTCAGTACTGGCCTAGAGTTGTTTATTGCGTCGCCTCTACACACGCTAGCCAATATCCAGGAATTATACAAAAAATAATATGATTTCATCATTTGAAAGCACCCGTTATTGGCCTTAACCTATCTTTTCGATGTCGACAAAAGCGTCGGCGGTCGTTGTTACTGAACTACTTTTTCTGTTAACACGTGTATCTAATTTAAGCAGAAATATTTTGTTACTACTTTTCCTGTCGCTTTTTCACCCGTATGGAGTTTGAAAGATTGTCCTCCTTGTATTTACCGACGTTGTAAAAATTTTAGAACTGCATTCGTTACTTCCAAAAATATACACTTTCTGCAAGTGGAAGGGTTTCTATTCTAATCTATCAGTTTCGTAGCGCATCTATTGTACCTACACAAACAACCAATAACTCCCTTTTCATAAAAATGTAATGCTAATTAATACAAAGTATAATATCCATTTCCACGAAGAGATTCACGTTCATAGCAACATACTAATCATAATTTACATGAGCAATATAAGAGTTAAGCACTCAATAAAATTTATTTGCCTCGCGACTGTAACCAGCCATCTGTTCATTTCAGAGCGATAGCAGTATATCTTCAATCACTGAAGTTGACACCAAACAGTGGAGTAATACACGGAAATTTGGCATGCTTGTACTATAAACAGGGATTTATAGATCTGGCTATAGAAACGTACCGGCGAGCAATAGAACTTCAGCCCAATTTTCCTGATGCCTACTGCAATCTTGCTAATGCTCTTAAAGAAAAGGGCCTCGTCTACGAGGCGGAGGAATGCTACAACAATGCCCTGCGACTTTGCCCATCTCATGTTGATACTCTTAACAATCTCGGTAACGTAAAACGAGAACAAGGGAAAATTGATGAAGCCACCAGACTTTATATGAAGGCTTTAGAAGTATTCCCTAATTTTGCAGCTACGCATAGTAACTTGGCGTCACTTTTACAACATCAAGGTATGTATATGTATGTATATTAAATGACGTACCATAATAATGTCCGCAATTTTTTTTCTTAGTAAAGAAAAATCATTTGGCACCACAATTCTAGGATTAACTAAAACTTATCAGACCTTATGGGAGAATAAGTAGTAGTCCATTTTTATAAAATAAAATAATTGTTTTTTTAAATAGTGTTTTCACAAAAGGGTGACAATGCACTTGTGACTTATCTGGTGATGCTGGTGTCGATGGGAGGTGCTGGTTTCTTACTAACAAATGATATTCCCGCTTGCCGCCTTATGCCATAAAACAATCTCTCACATTAACATTGACAAGGTTAATTAGCATAAAATTATTGCGGGTAAAGTTACAAGAAAACACTTAACGCTTATATTTAAAGGCGTGCT